CCCCAAAACCCCAAAACCCCAAAACCCCAAAACCCCAGTGATTTCCTACTAAATTGATACTTTTTAAATATTTTTAGTGAAAATGATACAAACGGAGATGAAAAATCAGAAGACCAGCTGATCTGAGAGCAAGGCCAGTAGCTTGTTTGAAAAATCTTCACAAGGTAGAATTTTTATCTTTTAAATTTACAGAGTCTGATGAACTTAACGACACAAGAGGCTCTCAGGAGAATCAATTAGAAGAAAGTTTCGAAAGAAAGAGAGTCAGAGGTTGAGAAAATGTACCCACCGACCAAATGATAGTGTCTTGTTCAGGATGAAAAGATATTTCTGTATTTGGGACAGAAAAATGCGAATTTATATCGAAGTTTGAAATTTGACAAACTGACCCTGCAACAAATACACTTTGAATTACCAATGAAGCAGGCGGATATCTTCTATGTGCTAGCTCTGAAAGTCCTTGCATCTCTGTCTGGAACTTCCTTACCAGAAAGAAGGAGTCCTAAGCCCATTTAGTAACTATTCAACTCTAAAACTGTATAGAAACAAAAGAAATGGTAACTTGACTGAAATCAATCAACAAAGGTTCTCATGTGTTGGCAGGCACTCAATATGGATCTGTAAAAATTTGGAATTGCCAGTCTGGAAAGCTCTTAGCTGATGTCGTTGTCAACTCGACTCCAGTATTCCACATGAGTCTGGGAGCAGATGATTCTCTGGTGATGATTGCTGACAAAAATACCGCCAGACTTTGGACACTTGCTGATTTTTACGAAGCCACTGAGGATGAATACAATCAAAAATTTGATAAACCAGCGAATGCAGAAACTGAAGAACAGGTTAGCAACACCGATTTCAGTGAAGAACAAATTGACCAACCCTCAACCCAAATTAAACCAAAGTGTATTATTGAGTACTTGGGTCATGAAAATTTTATTAAAGGAGTAGCTATTAGTAGCCTCAGTACCATAGCCTTCACATGTTCTGAAGACAAGAGTTGCATTATATGGGATCTTTTCAGTGGAAGTAGACTCAAAACCATCACTTGCAATAGTCCGATAGTTTGAATGGAGATTGACAAAATTGAGTCAACTATATTCCTCGCATGTGAAAACAAGAATGTGTATGCATATTCAGTAGAAGCAGTAGTTCATTCTTCAACAAACGTTAAGCCTGCACTTATTTTTACCTCTCACAGCAAAAAGATTACATCAATGGCTCTTTCTAATAATGGAAAGCTACTTGTTGGAGAGGAAGGAGGGCTTCTATCTATATGGGAAATTGGCCCAAATAAAAAGGAAAAGTTGGTTCTCAAATAAATATGCGAAGAAAGGTGCTATCAACAACATAATGCCAATCTCGGAGCTCCCATATATACTTGATTTTAATCAAATCAAAGATATAGAGAAGTTTCCATTTCTAAGTGGAGAAAAAGCAAAAGTAAGCCAACCAATTACTTTTAGGAAGAAAAATTCCAACAAAGTTACAAATCTCCTAAATCAAAAGGATCCAAATCAGAAGAATCTAAGTCAGCAGAAGACACTTCAACCTTTATCCCCATCCAACACCCCTTAAATCTCCCAGAAATGTTCACATCTTGCACAGAACTTATCCCCAAGACCAGAAACGACCTAGATAATGAATACTTGACTAATTACTTATACTAATCATTTATATCACAATATTTCACAATTGTTCTATTTTCAAATTCTACTTAGTACAAAGGGGTTTTGGGGTTTTGGGGTTTTGGGGTTTTGGGG